ATGGAGGAGGAATCAAAACAGGAAGATTTATTACCTTGATGAAACGTGGGTAAACGCAGGACACACTACAAGTAAAGTATGGGTTGATGATTCTGTAACTTCATCCAGGAGGGCCTTTCTAGATGGACTGTCCACCGGATTAAAAAATCCAGCAGGTAAATACGAGTAATAGACAACAATCGGATGTTTTTCAAACCTTGGGAACAAGGTTCTAAACATTAATTCCAGGGGGCAGATAAAACATATTACAAGTAACAAAACTTTTATAACTTTCGATAAAATGCGTGGATGTTTTATTGTCATTTTCATTTGTTAGAACTTTTTTAAGCCATGTTTTTATGTGTTTTCGATATTTCAATAATTTTTTAATATAATCTTAAAATATGTCGAATATTATAAACTTAGAAAAAGTTACTAAGTTTTATATTGTGTACCGTTCCTAATATTTCTAATCATTTTAATTCATACTTTAAGCTTTATAAAGTTATAATTTGTTAATATTAATATTTGCGCGTATTTCAGGTTCCTGATCATTCATTTTTTAAAGGTTTATAACTTTAAATTAAATTGTGAAGCGCTGAGTAATCATACGACGTTCAATATTCTTTCTTTCAATATGACTAAATAATCCCAATTATAGCAATCTGATACTCATGTCTCAATGTTTTTTCGCTGAATGTGATGAAAACATTTGAAAAAGGTTCGCTTATTGAAATAAATCTACACCAGTTAGTACTTCGATTTCCAGGTAAAGGGAAAAGGCTCATTATCTGCCATATTGGCAGTGAGGATGGATTTGTTGTTGACGGTCTGTGGTGCTTTGAGTCTAAGAAAACTGGAGATTACCGCGAGGAAATGAATGGCGAATCGTTTGAACAGTGGTTTTCAAAAATTTTACCGAACTTAGAGGAAAACGCAGTAATTGTGTTGGATAATGCGCCTTATCATTCTCGAAGAATGGAGAAGGTCCCAACAACGGCTTCAAGGAAAGTTGATGTTCAAAATTGGCTCCGCTCGAAAAATATCAACTTTGAAGAAGCAATGCTGAAAGTACAATTATTAAGAATTGTCAAGGATCACAAGGCGGAATATCAAAAATACGCCATTGACGAAATGGCAGCAAGTCAAAATAAAACTGTGCTCCGTTTACCTCCATACCATTGCGAGCTCAATCCCATTGAGCTCATATGGGCAGAGGTTAAAAATTATATGGCTAAGCACAATACAACTTTTAAATTTTGTGCCCTCAAAGGACTTTTCAAAGAAGCACTAGAATTAATAACAGCGCAAAAATGGGAAAACTGTATTAAGCACGTGAAAGACAAAGTTGAAAAGAGAATGTGGGAACTGGACAATATTTTAGAGGAACAAGTCGAGCCATTCATTATTGACGTTGGTGCTTCAGGCAGTAGCGATGATGAAAGCTCATCAAGCTCATCTTTCCAATAAAAGATGTCGTTCATCAAATTCGGTAAGTTATAAGTAATTATAAAGCTGCTGTATTTTTTAATTAATTATTGACATTTTTGAACCCATTTAGGCAAAACCTATTCAAGAATCTACTTTCTGACAATGTTCAACCATGCACATTTTTTTACGTTTTGAACGTTTTAATTTGGTTACATATTTACCTAGAAATCAAAAAATATACTAATCAATATTCTAAAAGCAATTTTAAGAGATATACGATTATTTTTAATTTAGGCTAATTTAAACGCCATTTTGAGATTATATTCGACTTTATTTCACCAAACATCAGGCGGCATCCGAAGCTGGAAATCGAAGCGAAAATTTTGAAACCCTTATGTATATTTACATCATTATATATTTCTTACCCCACCCCCACATGATCCTATATCCATCACCAATCGTATACACATCGAATTGTGCTAATTTACTACAAAGTTACGCAAAGCAGCATCTACTATCTAAAATATGTACTGCGTGACTCTTAATACGTCCCTGCAGAATGTTACAGCGTTCGATGATCACGTGGTCTTGTTTATGTCCGGTCTATCTCTTATCTGAATATACTGTAGGTAGCTTTTAGGGTGCAAATAGTTCAGCCACGTTTGCTTGCTATGATCGCTGTGGGCGTCGATCGTCGATCCATGGAGGAATGACTCAACTACACGCATTGTTGGTTGCAGAAGGCAAGTGTATGTTTTGTGAAGTAGTCTATAGTGGTTATCTCATAAGAATATGTGAAAGAAAGAAAGTTGGTTGAGTAGCAAGATCGCATCTGGATGATTATGTGTATTGGTCTGCATGTGTATAAAATCAGTGATATTTGCTGTGTGAGAAAATCATTACTGAATATGCCGAATATGACGAGTTATTTATATCTTGTGCTTTCTGAAGAGAGGTTATGTTGAAAGTTACAAATTACTAAAAACTGAGGAGAATTACGGGAAATCATCACCGCGCCCGCGTTGTGTGTAATTACTGTTAGCATGTATATGGCTTGTAATTCGATAGTGTACAGTGATTATAATTATTTCTTATCTCTCTCATTTTTTAAATTCAGCAAATTTTTATATGTAATTTCCAGAATGGATAAGAAAAAGTGGATGCGCAACTAATTTCTAGCTTTGAATCTCAATGAAGTGTATTTGAGACATGAACCCAATGTAATTATCAACAACACCATACAACTTACAGTTTAGACCTCCAGTAATGCCATCTCAGAAGCAGATTTTACATCACATCAGAGCCAAAGATTGATAACAAGCCTCATGACGTTTAGGCAACACGTACAACTAAGTGCTAAGTTAATATCATGTAAAATAACCTACATAATGTAAAAAACAGCATTATGTCAAAAAAAAAATCGGAATAATGTCACTTTTCAAGTTACGTGATACTCCTGCATCTGGATGATTATATATGTTGTTCTTTCTGAAGGCTGCTTGTGTTTAAGTTATAAATTACGATTTTCCCCTTTTTTCTTTTGTGTTTACAAAAACTTTGAGGGGCATTACGGGAATTCGTCACCGCGCCCGCGTTGTGCAATTAAGCCACATCACAGAAAAATTAGAAATGACGCATCACACTTCAAACATATTCGCAGTGCTGCACATGTAGGCGCTGATTTGTATTTTCTAATGACATCGCTCATCACACAATAAATTTCTATAAAATTCAAATGACTGGAAATAAAAAATAATGTAGCAACCTTTTCACTTTCATAAATATTTCTGTCTTCATTTTTGAAATTCAGCAAATTTGCGTATATGTAATATCCAGGTTGAGTAAGAAAAAGTAGATGCTCAACTAATTTCAAGTACTGAATACATCTGAAGTAAGTCTATTTGAGACCAGAAACCAATGGAATTATCATCAACACAGATTATTAGTACATACATCCTCACTATGCACCTACGCACTGCTGTTTCCTTCGAGTTATAGCCTATAGTATCCAACCTATAGCTTAGACCTCCAATAATGCCACCTCTTAAGCAGATGTCATCACATCAGAGCAAAACATTGATAAAGCATCATGACGTTTAGGCAACACGTACAACTACAAAATGACTTCACAACAAGGGTCCATCGGCTAGTGCTAAGTTAACATCTTGTAGAAGAATCTACGTTATGTCAAAAAAAAGCTATATATTGTCTAAAAAACCGTCATAATATCACTTTTCAAGATACATAATACCCGTGCGGGAACTGAATCCACGGAACTGCAACTACAGAAAAGAGAAAAAGTAGACCGGCACGGCTATTTTGTAAAAAACCTATAAAAGGTAAAAAAAAAACAATAAAATGTCATCTTGCGGACTGGGTAGTTTTTAGGGTGCAAGTAGTTCATTCCACATTTGCTCGCTAAGATCGCCGTGAGCGTCCATCTATGGAGGAATAACTCAACTACACGCATTATTGGTTGCAGAAAACAAGTATATGTTTTGTGAAGCCGAGTAGTCTGTAGTGTTTATCTCTGAGATGTAAAAGAGAGAAAGTTGGTGGAACAGCAAGACCACATTTGGATTATTAAGTATATTGGTCTACATGTATATAAAATCAGTAATATTTGCTGTGTTAGAAAATTATTACTGAATATGCTGCCAATAAAGTATATCTATTAGCTGTGTCCTACGGGTTATTTATATGTTTTCCTTTCTGAAGACAGGTTATGTTCAAATTTATAGATTACGATTCTATCCCGTTTTTTTTTTCTGTTTTCAAAAACTTTGGGGAGCACTACGGGAAATCGCCACCGCGCCCGCGTTGTGTGCAATTAAGCCATATCACAGAAAAATTAGGAATGACGGTTCACACATCAAACATTTTCGCAATGCCTTACATCTAGGCGCTGATTTGTATTTTCTATTGACATCGCAATATACATTTATATAAAATTTAAATGACTGAAAATAAAAAATAATGTAATAATCTTTTTCTCTCATTTGAATGAATAAGAAAAAATGAATGCGCAACTAATTTCTAGCTTTGAATCTCAAATAAGTGTATTTGAGACAACAAGCTAATGGAATTATCAGCAACACCTATTATTATAGTCGAAATCACGAAAGATTACGATTACGTCATCATTTTAGTCTGTAGTAAAGACAAACGACAGCGATTTGTGAATATATTTAATGAAGTTTCTGATATGTTAGACAGACAAACAGAATGTTATTGTCTAAACAAACTGTATTGCTAATCTGCATGTATCCGACAAAGATAGACGATGTTTTCATGTCGTATAATCGATCATATTTGAAAGATGAATAGTTAGGTTATGTTAAAGCAGGTTATGTTGTTTTCGAATAATACTTTGGTCTTTGTTGTTCCTGTCTTAAGGTATTCTACTCATAACTGTTTTTTTCAAAACAAAAACAAACTTACAGCTTAGACATCCAATAATGCGATCTCTGAAGCAGACTTTACATTACATCAGAGCCAAACATTGATAACGGAAGCATCATGATGTTTAGGCAACACACAAAACTACAAAACGAGTTCACTACAAGTGTCCATCAGCTAGTGCTGCGTTAACATCTTGTAGAAAAACCTACATAATGTTACCAAAAAACAATAGTATGTAAAAAAATGTCATAATGCCACTTTTCAAGATGCGTAATACCCGTGCGGGACGCCCCTTTTTTATTCATAGAATTGGATGCTGTAAATATACAATTTTAATGATTTTCCGCAATCAAGGACATTTTGTTTAGAGCTTGAAACTTCTTGTTAATTATGACACAGATAGTTGCCCTGAGTTTGATGAATTGAAAGAAACAAGATAGCGTACACCCCGGACAATTAACGTATGAGACGCCACTGGAAACAAGCGCCTTGACATTCGTGTTTTGACATTTGCATGGGCCAATCAACGACCGCCGTTTCCTTCACATCTTTCCGCGCTTCGAAGGTGGCTTCTTTTCGTCCATCTCAAAGCCCGGCCTTGTAAATTCACGTGTAATATCTGTGATTATCTACTAACATCCAGTGTAAAAAATGGCTGATGAATACTTTTTTGGTAAGTATCACTTTATCCCACCATTAGAAACTTAATTAAAGGTGTATTTTTCGAAATCCATCTCTAAATATTCCACTTGCAATGACAAATTTTGTTCAATCTATGCCGGTATTTGGCGCCATTATGGCCGATCTTGTTTACTACTGTGGTTTTTTTCTTTACAGCAATCACCCTCAAAGGCAAAAGTAACGAGTCGTACGTTTTCGACCCAGAAGCTCCAGAGGATTGCCAAGGAGGCCATAAACTAGTAATAAAACAGGCTCTGCTAGGCCCCGAAGCTGCCGAAGGTAAGGACATTCTATTAGTTTTCTGTATTTCTTTTCTGTATAGCATCTAAAATTGTAATCAACCCTATATTAAATAATATTAACTATAACGATCTTTAGTAATAAACATAAATTGTGCGATGATTTATGTAATGTAATATAGGTGTTGTGTAGATGTCTCTTTTTCATACAAGTTGTACATAACCTAAAGAAACGTTAAAATTACATGGTGGATATATTGCTGTGGAAAATTAGTAAACCCACTGCATTTGACACGATTTATTATGATTTTGCATTTCCAATAGATTGTTTACATCCATTTTCGAGGGTTGTGCTCTTTGTTAGTTTTACACTGATGTGTTGGAAAAGTATATTTGAAATTTGTTCATTGATAGTGCAAAATTCTTGTTTGCATTCTGTTAAATGTTTTGCCTGGGGCTTAGAAAAAGTGAAAATGCTTGAAGTGCACTTTTTGGAGGCTAAATATTGATTCCATCAAAATAAAATTTTTGGAACATCTTGCATTATGTGCTAGGGAAAATATTGTGTCTAAATTAAACGTGCAAGTGCATTGGTATTTATTTTTCATTTAGGCCTTGTTGAAACAAATATGATATTCAAATTTATGCACTCTTATTGACCAGTAAACCATAAATGTCTGGGCAAGCAAAAAGAAGCAGTGATCCATGCTCATATTTGTTTTAACATGAGGTAAATGAGCTTTGAATATAACATAGTATTATAATTATGACCAATTAATTTTATTCCTAGATGAGGTGAATGTGATCCAGGTTGAAGCAATGACATGGAAAGACTCAGTAAAGATTCCAATTGCTACCTTAAAAGCAGGTGGTCCAACTAACCAAGTATTACTAGACCTTTCATTTCCTGACCCTCCAGTAACTTTCTCTCTAGTGAAGGGCAGTGGACCAGTACACATTGTTGGCCTCCATCTGGTAGGTAGCCCCATATTTGAAGAGGAAATGGATGATATGGAAGAAGAGATGCCAGATGATGAGGAGGGAGATGATGGAGATGTGAGTATAAATGATGGAATGAAGGTGCATTCTTATTGAGGGTAGGGGAGAGAAAGAAAGAAAGATCAACTTTTCTGCTGGGTTCTGTTGCACTTGATCAAATAATAGCCTGCACACTGGAATGACGTGAAGGGAAATGATGCATCATGTTTGTCACATGAAGTTGCAAATGTTACCACAGTTCTCATCTTTTTCTCTCAAAGTGTATGTTAAACCTTTTTTGAAGAATTGGCTAATATCCCCATATTGTATGGGCTAATATTGTGGCACATATGTTACGAATGCATTATTAATGGCAGCCTTGGCAAGTTTTTTGAAATACAGGGGAAAAAAGCTTTAATGTAAAAAACTATCATCAATACATATAATTATTATTGGTGATGTGATTGCATGAACAACAGAATCGGTGAAACACTTCTACTAGTAAAATATATTGTTACTTGTTGGCAAAAACAATAAATACATACATATGTGACAGTCATTTCATAAAAAATACTAGAAGTAGTGATCAATGATACATTATTGAATGAACGTAATATGATTATTTTGTTCTAATAACTGTTGTGTATTGAGATTTTTCTCTTTTTTGTATTTGAAAAAAGTTTATTTGTTGATAGTGGGTTAATGCAGTGGAAGGAGCTTAAAGGGGTAGAAGATTTATCTAACCCCTTGAAGCTCTGACTAAACTTAATGATATGCAATAAAATAATTGTTTACTTGTAAAATGATTTATTTTTATAAAAAAATCTTTATAACTTGCATATGTTTTTCATGAAGTATTCTATTGAAAAAGGAAATTTTGAGTAACATTAAAAATATGGATTTGTATTTAATTCATTTGATAGTTTTCTCACTGTCTTGATTCTAAATATAGCCTGGTGATAAATCAAAATTTGAGAAAATGCTTAAACATCGTTTGTCAGTTACCAAGAAAATGTCAGATTTTTGCCATAGAAACATTTTTTTAAGCAGAGTTTGGTCTATCTTGTCTAGTTAAAAGAAAAATGAAGTGTGGGTAGAATGAAACTTATGCCTTAATTACATTCATGCTAATTATATCAGCATATAACAGTATTAATTTAAGCTACAATACATGTGATTAGATTATAATATTAAATAAAATAATCTTCCTGTGTGTAGATCCTTTACATCATATAAAATGATATCAATATATGGTCTATGCGACTACCAATAAATTAGTATATGATGTAGTAAACTCATGTGAACTTATTTGGATTTATTTTTCAGTTTTGTTAAATGTTAATTTTCTTAGTTGGGAATCCCAACTTGGGTTCAAAATATAAGGTTATCAGAAATGGTATTCATGATAAAATAAAATGTCATTTTGTATGTGCATATTTTCAACTTCATAAAGGGAAGCCATTTTGGAATTACTTTCAGTGCAAATTAAAGAGACTCGCTCAACAATTAAAATTGAGGATGGATGTTCTTGTTTTTGTTTTCTTTTACATATTCAAATCTTTGCATACATTTGAGGTGGCATTTCCAAGTTGTACTCAAATGTTTCATTTATGATGAAGTTGGATAGTTGTTGCCAACATTTTATAAACTCTATTTCTTTTGGTTTTTCAAAATTATAATTTGATAAACTAGTATCATCATAGTTTAAGGTGCCATTAAATTTTCTATTGCACTTCATCAAAATTGCTGTTTTGGTTGATGAATAGCTGTCTTTATAAAAAACTCATAGAAAATGAAAAAAGGCAGGAGTAATTGAATTGAAAATGCTATCTTGAGTGGAAAGGAATTGACCCTGACAGAATTATCCAATTTTTAGGAGGAGTATGATGGTAGAAAAAGAAAAATTTCCAATGGAACTAATAAGGTGTGAACCCAAGACAAAATTGTATCATTTTATGCAAGGTGAATTGTGGCAATAATTGTAATCCCACTTCGATTTGCTTATTCCTTTTTATATCATCTTGAATAGATTTAGGCTTCAACTAATAAAAAATTGGGAACTTCAAATATTCATGTATCACCTTGTATAAAGTTGGTAAGTTTCCAGACATGTGAATGGCAGGAATTTCATATTTGGTAGATTAAACATTAACATTGTAGAGGATAATTAAGCTTGAGGTATGACAATTTAGTAGTTCTGTGCACATTTGCTGTACAAATTCCTGTTACATACAGTAGCAAACATACAACATTATTCTGAACTATTTGATATACATAAACTAAAATTGTGAAGGAACAGATGATATAAGTATTAGTCTACCTTTGGCTCGCCTACTAATACAAGGTTTATCTTGTCAGTATTCAAATTCTCTGAAAATAAAAACACCCGTTTTTTTTAAATACCAGTTTTTGTAAGGACAAAAGAATGGAAACATTTCAGTTTTGCAGTATTTATTTGTTCTGGGATACTCTTATATTGCATTCGGTAAATATAGGGTGTTTCAGAACTATGGGATCAAACTTGTATTGGTTATTCAGTGTAACAGTAGAAAACATTTGAGTTTTAGGACCCATATCCGGAAGTGTCACTACGGCCCTAAGACGCGTTAAAATTTAGAAAGACGATGAATTGCCTAAATAGGATTTAATGCATTTAATTTTTGCCTTTTGTACATATCATCACAACAGTTCAAAATGTCTTCCTCCAATCTGAATACACCGACTTGACTAAAAATTTGATACTCGTTTTGAATGATTTCAAATGCTGCTGTAATTCGTCCAATTAAGTCTTGCTGTGTTTCTACTGGAGTTTCGTAAACAAAAGACTTTAGATGTCCCCACAGGAACGGTGTATTCAGGTTGGAGGAAGACATTTCATCGTCTTTCTAAATTTTAACGCGCATAGGGCCGTAGTGACACTTTTCCGGATATGGGTCCTAAAACTCAAATGTTTTCTACTGTTACACTGAATAACCCCTACAAATTTGATCCCATAGTTCTGAAACACATTGTTAACATCAATGAGAATGGCAAAAGTTAAAGAATTTTCACAATATTCAAGAGACAAACTAATTGAATTATTTAGAAGTGGCGTCAGAAAGTTTGACATTGAAAATTACGAAAGAGTCGATTTCAAAAATTATTAGTAAATACCAAGAATACGTATCAACAGCAACGCGCCCCAGGTGCGGAAGACAGAAGAGGGTACTGAGAATCTTTCTGTCAGAACAGTGCAGAGGCATTTGGTGAATTTTGGGCTTTTTGGGTAGGCAAAAGCCTCTCATTTAAAAAAATCGTATTGCTCGGCTTGAATTTGCTAAAACTCATCTAACTTGGACAGGGCAACAATGGAATACAGTTTTATGGAGCGATGAAAGCAAATTTAACTTCTTTGGACCTAATGGCATGGCATATATCAGACGTCCAATGCGAAAAAGTCAACATCATAGTTTGGGGCTGTTTTTCTGGCTCTGAAACGGATCCAATTGTTAAAATTGCTGGGAAAATGGATCAAAAACTTTACAAAGATACACATGATCCCTTTTGCTGAAGAAGAAATGCCTTACAATGGACATTTCAAAATAGGAACGATCTATTTTATTATGTTAAGAATATTTGGCAAAATATTTCAAGATTGGGGTCTTCTATGAGCAGCAGATGTCAGGCGGTGTTGAATGCTAAAGGAAGTGCTACCAAATATTACCTAAATAGTATTTTTTAAATCTTTGTATAGTTATTGTATTTAATTTTGTAATAAAAAATGTTTCCATGCTTTTGTCGGATTATTTTCGGTCATAAAATAATATAATAATTGTCATTTGTATCCTCAAGACTGTAAGCAAACTAATTGAGAAAAAAAAATTAGTCCTTAATAATAAAAAATTAGCACACTTTTTAAAAATTACTAAGAAGTTTCCAAACTTTTGTCTGCTTCTGTAGTTGGAATGTAGACTGATGTAGTTCTTTTTAATATTTTTCTTCTGTTTATGTAGCTTGGATGAGTAGCTGGAAACATCTGCACAAGATTCATTAGATTTACTAAAAATGCATTCAGAGAAATCCATATACCAGTGGCGTCATAATGTGAACGAGAGAGGAGTGCAATACATGTGTTTAAAAGAGATAGAAGCAGCACCTTACGTAGCAATCAGAGTGATGGCATGGATTCACCTGCAGCCTGCTGCATTGTCATCAGCGCACTCTTTCTAATATACATATTGCGCGCTTATCTCTTGAACACAACATCAGCTATATTTTGATTTCACTGTATATGCAGTTTTGATGATATGGCTGAGGGAGAGTCATAAAATGTGCTCACATAATTATTATTTCATGTTAGTTTTTCTCTATTTTCAAGATACTGAGGCATTTTTATGTTAAATTCTATGCATGTGATCAGAAATCATAGTATATGATGTAAATCTGCATGTTTTTTTACTGATTTGAGCATTCTTATATTTCAAGAACATACTGAATATAAATTGCTTAGAGATTTAGAGTTAATGCACATTGGTGGATGATAGGAGAGAGCGTCAAAGAGGACCCTCTGCCAGCCATTGTACAGGGTGACTGGTGGGAGAAATCGGATTTCAAAATCAACTGTTTTCGTAACCGTTAGGCAGGGGAGCGGGGAAGGGGCAAAATATCGTTCGCGAGGTTAATAAATAACACAATACTGAGGCGCGATTTCAAGAGTGTGTCCGACGTAATGGTCGACATTTAGATAACATGATTTTTACGAAACAAAATCCGCACTGTTTCTCTTTATAATAACTATCGAAATAGATGTTTACCTTTTGTAGTTTTTTTTTGATTTAGATTTTAAATCCGAATTCTGCCACCGGACACACCCTGTACTTTGACGCTACAAATTCTGTGATTCTTCTAAAACTCATGTGTGTTAGAAGCTTTCGTATGTCTGGAAACGGGGGCACCTGAATTGAATTTTATGTACAAAATGTTCTAAAATTCGTATGTCTGGAAGCTTGGGAGAAAACCAAATAAATATGAATTCTGTCATTTGCAGGAAGAGGAGGATGAGGAAGATGAACCCAAATCCAAAAAAGCCAAAACGAACAGCAAAGGAAAGACGCCGGTGAAAAACAACGCCAAGCAAAATAAAAAGTAAATATCAAGATAAAACTGAAAAACTAATGGTTTAACACTATATCATTTAAGCGTTATTTTTTTAATTACATGTAGTTTTTCCCACAGCATTTCTACCAGATTTGTTACATGAGCATTGAAATAAGTAAACTATTTTTGTTTCTCAGTAATTGTAGGCGAAGCTGTCGCAGTTCCAAATGACTACTGTGTATCGTGATTTCGTTTTTTATTCCAAATGTAACTCTTAATTTGTGTGAGAGATATACTTTAGCTCGACGCGTTTTAGGTATTTATTTTCAAATTCAGTTGTATATATATACAATCTCATTAAAATAGTTTTTTTCTAATAAAAGTTGTTATCCTTCATGTCCCAACTAGCGAAAAATCATGTATTTTGGTGAAAAAAGGCTATGGTGCAAGGAGTCCTGAGAGATTAATCTTGATTCGGCGAGGTCCGCCGTAAATGGGTTCTTTGTGTTTTTTCTTAATTCTCCGCCTATAGCTACAGGTGAAGATTGTGAAAATCCGGTAATTCTTTCAAGAGACTTTACCACGGACTTGATTCATGAAAACATCTTGATTTTGCTGGAATTCTTGCCCAGGATGTGTTTACGTTGCAGCACATAAGCCATCTTCACAACCATGTTCATAGTGCAACTTATTCCCCATGTCTGCGAGATTGATGTATTTTGACTGACATGCATGGTATTGTTTTTGCGTTCTTGTATCTTATTTTGTTTGGTTTGAATTGAAAAAGGTACTTCGGATTATGACTTGAATGAGGAAGTTTACCATTTTTTTGAAACGCTGAAGACATTTCAGTGAATTTTTAAGTGTCACCGAGTCATTAGAAAAATGGAACTCAACTGAGAACATTTTCCCGCCATAATTTATTACAACTTTCAGAGACAATTATCGCAACAAGAATGCCTTGCTGAGTTACTGTCTGTTTTCGGCAACGAAGTGCCACATCAGTCGACAATTTCTCGTTGGTATGGAGAATTCAAACGTGGACGGGTGAGCCTTAGCGACGATCCCAGGGTGGGTGCACCAAAAACGGCAATCACCCAGGAAAACGTCGATGCTGTGCGCAAACTCATCATTGAAGATAGACATGTGACATATCGCGAGATTGAGGCGTCCTTGAAGATCTCAAAGACCTCAATTCAAAAAATTTTACATGAAGAATTAGGAGTAAGAAAATTAGTTTCTCGCGCTGGATACCTCACCTGTTGACTGAAGAGCAGAAAGCAGCCAGGGTTAATTGGTGTGAAAAAACGCTTGACCGTATCAATTCCGGAAACTCAAAAAATGTGTACAGCATTGTTAGTGGTGACGAATTGTGGTTTTACTGTTTTGAACCAGAAAATAGATGACAGACGGCTGTTTGGGTGTTCCAAAGTGAAGAAAAGCCAACAAAGTAATCCGTTCTGGAAGTGTTTTGAAAAAGATGGTCGCGACATTTGTGTCAAAAGCGGGTCATATTGCAACAATTCCTCTTAATGAGCAAAGAACTGTTACTGCGGATTGGTATACCACCATTTGTTTGCCAAAAGTCATCACCGAGATTCGAAAAATCAACCCCGAAAGAAGAATCATCCTCCACCAAGACAATTCAAACTCGCACACAGCACAAAAAACAAGGCATTATTTAACGGAAGAAAACGTGGAATTATTGGAACATCCTCCATATAGTCCCGATCTAAGTCCTAACGATTCCTTTACTTTCCCCAAAATTAAAAACAGACTGCGTGGTCAAAGGTTCCAATAACCAGAAGAAGCAGTTGACGCATTCAAAAATGCCGTTTTGGATCTGCCAGCAAACGAGTGGAATAAGTGATTCGAAAATTGGTTCGAGCGCATGCAGATGTGTTTTAATCTTCGTAGAGAATACTTCGAAAATAATAGTCATTTAAAACTACCTACCGTGTTGTTTTATTTCCATATGCAAAACTTAAAAGACATCCCTCGAAGTTACAAATGTTAATACGTGCCAAACATTGGTGCCAAAGAATAAATGTTTCGTATAGTAACCATTATTATATCCACCCTTGCAAAATGAATGGAATCGGTACGCAGAAAACCTTGTCATTTTATTTATTGTATATCTATAATGTCGCGCATGTCTATGAAAAAGCAACTATTCGTTACTCGAGTACTCGTTACTCGTAGATATTCGAAGTAACAAGTATCAATCCGAGCACTAAGTGATTACTCTGCTATCCGTATCCCTACCCCGGTTCGCATGCAATCGTTGAGTGGCAACACCGGTTTCTGCATCACTGTAGCACTGCCACTCGTGCATCAGGGTTGCAAAACATCCCACATCCGGGTGGAAACTTGGAACCTCCAGATTTAAAAACAATTATCAAATGTCATCAAATAAAAAAAATTAGTTTACCTATTTACACCGTGATAACAATCAGCTATGAGACCCTCCTGTCAGTGTCAGAAACGGCCGCCAGGTCGGCGGAGAAAGTCGAATGTAAATAACCCCAGAACAATGGTGGAAGAGGTTTTAGTGCTCAGCAGCAGCTGGTGTTGCCACGTACCGTGTCAGCAACCGCAGATTATCATCATGCATTTTGTTCAACTTAACTGCAAAAATTCGGCGACCTTATCTCGAAAATTTACTTTACTAACGTTAGTAATGTGACCGGTAACATTGAAGCTTAAATTGTGTTCAGCTACTAGTAGAGCACTTCTTGGTTTGCGCATACAACGTCGATGTGTTCCTGATTTTGGCGTATATTTTGTTTAGGCATTTGATCTACTTTTTTGAGCTTGATAATTGTTTGGCTGCAATCTTATGCCTATTTGAATTCACATGATGAACAAAGATCTGCATTGGCTTTTAAATAAACAACACAAGCTTTGCAGTTAGCGTACGTATTATCATGTTCAGCAATCTGGATGAAACCCTGTAACTTTGGATCTGTTAACCATTTTTCAGAAAAGCGTTGTACACGAAAATATTGTTTTCCTGTATTGACCCTTGTGCTAGAACTACCTTCTTCGGTCGTTGAGGAATTGCACTTCTCAAGGACTTCATCCATGACCTCGTCCATACCTTCCCAGCTTGTGCTCGGACTCGGACTGCTTTTAGTTCCTAAACTTTGGTAGAACAAAAGATGCTGTTTCACCGACTGTTTTTTTGATGTTTAAAATTTTTTGCTTCACTGCTGTCGCTCAGGTCGTCAGAATCGCTTGTACTCTAAAATAATACAAAGACCTGCATTCCTCTCCAAATTTATATCATTGTATTGCTTACCCCAGACATAACAACAAAAAAAAGTCAACACGTTAAACAAGAAAATTGATGCTTTGACAATCAATAATTATGCAGATTGCAGATATTACCGCTGGCACTGAATGTGAATCGGTGAATCCCCCAAAGTCGGTAATCGTAGCGGGAGTGTGCACACGCAGTCCGAGAGAGATAACACGCATATTGATGTTGCTACGTCAAAATCGTGGAGAATTCGGTTGAATGCGCTTTTGCTTAGTTGCTCGTGTGCCATGGAGAAATGTGTATCAAAAATAATTTTTTTTACATATGTTTGAAACTTTTTTTTAATTATTTTTGGTAGGACAGTGACAGTTAAATAAACCGAAATATTGTAAAATTCCGCCATTTTTCCGCATCCCGCCGCTACGAAGCCTGAAATTCCGTCACCGTAGCGGTATTCCGCTACAGTTGACAACACTGCCCGGGTGACACGACCTTGTCATTCTTGAGGAATACCAGTGGAGATATATAAAATTTGAGGCGTAGCAATAAGGATTTTTTCGCGAGTCCACGGTGTAGCACAGTGCACTACCGGGAACCGATACTTAAATTTTCGCGAAGAACGGGAAATGGGGGAAAACAACGTGGGCGCGGTGATGATTCCCGTAATTCACTTTAGTTTTTCGTAATTTATAACTTTGAACATAACCTCTCTTCAGAAAGCACAACGTATAAATAACCCGCCGTATTTGGCATATTATACACGTGCAGACCAATACACATAATCATCCAGATGCGATCTTGCTATTCAACTAACTTTCTTCTCGGAGATAAAAACTACAGATCTGGATCACTCAGCCTTACAAAACTATGCAACCAATAATGCGTAGTTTAGCTGAGTGATTCCGCCATAGATGGACGTTCAGAACGATCCTAGTGAGTAAACGTGGAATGACTGTTGGCGTCCTAAAAACTACCTAGTCTGCAAGTTGACATCTTATAGGTTTTTTTAGACGTTTTATAGGTTTTTTACATGATACCCGTGCGGATCGGCCCTAATGGCGCTGCATTTTAGATTGGTATGAAAGGTCCGGATCGTCATAAATCCTGCAACATTGCATCATTGGTTCGTTTGATAACACCGGATCTTGTACATTCCTGGGCAAGGTTTCCACCTCAATGATCATAGACGAGCGATTTTGGTCAGTACCCATCTAACGCACATTGAGGAGTGTCGCCCTGCTTCAAATAGGCCTCTTTCTTGGGTTTGACTGTAACCTAAAAGCCTGTGCGAACATTTTCTGGTCTAACAGTGACGCGGAAGCTTGCACGAGCTTCTGCGTCACTGTTGCTAGGCAATGTGGTGATGACCTTCGCTCTTCAACCGGCTCCTATCTCTTTCTAACATGTGCTGATACACACTTCTCTCTCGTACACATTGAACTCAAGCCGTCAGACAAATTTGGTTTTCTTTGTATACACATATCAGCAAAATAATTGATTACAATTTAATTGGCGCCAGAAATGTTAAAAATCGGCAGATATTGCCAGTTTGCTAGATATTGGGCACCAGCTATCCATTTGAAGCCATCAAATCACCACTTTAGCGAAAAATCGCTACGCCTGGCAACACTGAATCCCGGCAGGAAGCACGTGACGTGTGCCGGTAATACAGTTACCGCGATTTTGCCTTAAGACGTTTCATACACCAGACAATAGGTTGCAAAGCATTTTGCTGCGCCACTGGTGAATGGTATCATAATCAAATTCAAGCGGATAACCAAATGGAAATGGTATTTACCATTTTGGGTTGGTATTTACCAATCCGTTCAAGCGAGTGTAGTTATCAGTTTGGTTATAAGATCCGTGACGTCACGAATCAGCTGTTATATGTCATAGTTATCACCGCAAAATTGTGGTATTTACCCAACTCAAGAATAGTTTTATATTTCTGGTTATTATTTGAAATGTGACAAGTTAGAATTTTGCCGAGTATTGGATATTGTTATTGTACTTCAGCTTCATTTTTGAGAAACATGATACAGGCTGACTTCAGTTTTACCATAAAGTGGAGCATCTTATTAGTTATACTCATTACGGTTGTTGGGGACACTTTAAATGTAGTTCCTATGCTTAACAAAGTATCCTGTGTAGCCATATACCACAAGAATATGGCCATATAAACTCACTAGATGATATCCACCTGTATACGGTTTTGCTAATTTCTTTTTTCATCATTTCTGCTGAATCAATAAATGTTTTCTTTGACATGCGGAAAAATTTAGAGAATTGAAAGTTATCGTAGCTACAAAGCCATGGTTCCATCATTAAAAAAAAATCTGAAAAAACATTTCTCCCATGAATATTATGAAAGGTTTCTTATTTAAACTTTCCATATACAGTTGTAGACGAAAAAGCACCGATTATTAAGTGATAATAAAAATAATCAGAGATTATTTACGCGCTTTTCTAAAATAAACAACTTGCAACAAAACCGCGGTTAAAACCAACGCGTTCAAGCGATTCGTGTAACTGACGTCATCAACCCGTGTGTCATCTTGAACCATATTATAACCGCGGCACATAACACAGAAATTTTGGTTATTCCCTTGAATTTGATTCTTGTAACTTCGGTTCAGTGACTTTTTGGCAGTCCAGTTCTTTACCATCTACACCACAAAACATACCGTCCAATGACATGTGAATGACAGTGGTCAAAATAATTTAAAAGTTGTTTACTTTTTGTAACTACCGTTCAGCCCTGACAATTTTCCAAATGGAATTAGATAATTTTTATTGAATTTATCTCACGATTCTTAGTTATTTCATAACACCCTAAATATTCCCTGTATATACCCCAAAACATTTTTGATAGCTTTCATAAATATATATTCTACAATGAATACAGATCCCGGACCTAGCTCTAGTTTATTTCAAAATACAGATCTGAATGTGAATAAATCTCAAAACGAGGAAGAAGAAGAAGATTTGGAAGATCAGAAGAGGAGAAAAGAAGAGGTAGGCTATAAATAAAGATCGTAAATGCAAAACTAGAAGTTTTCTTATGATTTCATCATTGATGTCTAACCGAGAATCAATTTCGTATTGTTCAAGCTGCAAAATCTACTGGTAGCCAAACTAGACGATTTCAACTTTGACGAAAGTACCATCAACTCTTCAACAAATATTTCTACAGCATCAAATGATGATATTCAACATAAGTATAAGTATGCTTCCACAACAAATGAGCAACTGCAAGTATTATATGAAGTAAGAACTAGAGAACTTGCTACATTGAGAGAAGAATATGAGAAGTATAAAGCTGAAAAAAGTAAAGAAATAGATAATTTAAAAAATAAGCTAATTCTTGGTGAAGCTGAAAATCACCAATTGAAAATATCCTTGAAAAATGCTGAGAATTTGTTGGTAGAGAAGACAACAATGATTAATGATCTGAGAAAAGAGCTAAATGTAGTAACAAACCACGCAAAACAGTATGAGAAAGATATAGAGGAGGTAGGTGCTTTAACACAGTTTATGTTCAGCAAGAAATTGATAAAAAGACGCATTTATTTAGGAACTGACATTTTAGATAATATTGCTGATTTCAAAAGTGTGTAGTGCTAGAACTAAGATTTAGATTTTTTTTAAACATCAAGGTAATGAACATATATACTTTTTTACTATTCATTTTGGATTATTTAAAAACTTCTGGCAAAAATTACCCCCCTTGCAGCTTCTAACTCAGTTTGTTGATTGACTAGATTGGACCATGAATAAAAGGGTGAATATACAGTATTTGGTACTTCAATGTTCTGCCAAAAAAATCAAATTGAGAAATTGTGGAAATAAACCCTCCAAATTCTTTATTTGGAACTTATGATGAAATTGAGGTCACCATTAAGATTTAGGTTCAATCTCCTGAAAATTAGTAACGTTTATTCCTTGGGGTGCTCTGATTCTGAATTTAAGTACAAATATCAACAAATCTTGGTATATATAACAGGGACAAAAATATACAAATACTCTTTGTACTGCTAGATACATAACATATTCATGAAAAGGACACTGAAATGTGTATAAAGGCATAACACAATTGAAGTGTTTCCTGAAAGCATACAGTGTGTAAACGTTATGATAGTCATTATTGAAATGGGTAGTAGGGGGGGTCAAAACAAGTCAAAAAGTTGTTATGACCCATGGTCCAAAAGTCGATAGATTTTTTTCTAAATGGCTTAATAGTTTACAACTTTAAGTGCTTTATATTGACCACAATCTGACTAATTTTTATAATCTAATCTAAAACGTTTTTAAATTGGGTAATTAACAAATAAATGACGTTAAGTTTTTGTAAGTTAAGAAAAATTTGTAGTCAGTAAGTAAGTAAGTAAGTTTCATTAAATTAAATATTTAAAACACACATGACAACAGCGCGTCGGTCTTTCATCACTCTTATCGAACCGGCAATAGATCGCAAACGGTAACAGTGGATAGTTATCGTTTTGCATAGATAAATTACTTTATCGTTTTGTCGAGCAGAGCATCGGGCGGGTTGTTTTGTTTTTGTTTGCGTACGTCGTCGTGTTTATTTACAATGTTCTCGAATCAAGAGTTCGCCGACGTGTTGTTAGTTTACGGTACATCAGAATTCAAATATTGTGCTCAAATTTATCGCGACAGATTTCGCCAATGGGTACACCCAGACAGAAGGACATTTGTGCATGTGTACCAAAGACTTCTAGATACAGGAAGTGTTCAGCCCACTAATATTCGCACTCATGAAAGACAGGTTACTGTAGAGCAGGAGGAACAAATTTCAAATATCGTGAAAATCAACGCAGATATCAGCACTCGGGAATTAGGCCACCGTGAAGGACTATCGCATACCATAGTCCATAGAATCCTACAGGACAATTTGCTTTACCCCTACCATGTAGAACGAGTGCAGGCCTTGTTACCAGAAGACTATCCTCGCAGACTAACATTCTGTCAGTGGTTTTTGCACAAAACATTGGAAATCCGGATTTTTTTTAAAAACATTCTAGCGACGGACGAATGTACTTTTACGCGAGACGGGATATTAAATTTCCATAATACTAAACACGTGGGCCCAAGAAAATCCTTGTACCATTCGTGAAGGTCATTTCTAACAACGTTTTAAAATAAATATTTGGTCGGGTATTCTTGACGATCAGGTATTTGGCCCTTTCGAGTTACCCCCACAGTTGTCAGGAGAAGGATACCTTAGCTTTCTAGCAAATAACCTACCAGAACTTTTGGAACAGACCTTAGACATCATGTCATTACAACGGAGACAGAATTTGTGGTTTCTTCATGATGGGGCACCACTACACATTTTTAGAGGCATCATTCAGTATTTGAATGAACATTATCCAAATCGCTGAATTGGTCGAAATGCTCCTGATCCTCGAAAATGGTCTGCAAGATCTCCTGACCTCAATCTGATGGATTTCTGGTATTGGGGAGAACTTAAAGGGATGGTTTATGGGGCTGGTCTAATAACAACTGAAGCACAACTTCGCGAAAAAAATTTAATGCGGCTGAAATAATAAATGGACAACTTTGAGGACCTAGAGTAAGAAGAGCCTGGGTTCGTCGTAATGAAGCTTGTGTGGAAAGTGGAGGACGACATTTTGAACACTTTCTTTAAATACAAAAAAAGTGCAGTGTGGGTTTTAAAAAGAAAAACAATGTATGTATCAAAATTGTGTTCCATATTTATAAGTGGATTTTTGTCATACATTCAATAAAGAGACAGTAAGTGGTAAGTCCGTTTTTTTAATTGTGTGCATTTTACGAGTACATGATCAAATAATGAAATAATACCTAAGAGCCAAAAATAACAAACTCCATCTTTATTTACACTGCGTTCCGTCGTAATTTGCGTCTGGCATTGCGGCGGTGTCAGATTTTATTTTACTTTAAAGTCGCTTTTCTCTAAAAAAATACTGTTTTGACCCCCATGTTATATGAAACTTTTTGCTTTTTTTAACCCCCTCTATCACCCATTTAAATAATGACTATCATAACGTTTACACCCTGTATCGTTGTGAATTTCTTTGGTACATCACTGCAGCTATGTAAAAACAACGATTTTTGAATACAAAAGTCATGAATATAATAATTAATTAATCTTAATTTTTAAGAGGCCATCTACGATTTTATCAGCACCCTGGCATCAGTTCTCTGACAGTTATTATATCAATTGTTTTTTCAACTTTTCTTATTTTTCAACTTCCTACCTTTTGTCACTTATTATAAACCATATTACAAACAATGGAAGCAATGGCTGCGAACCACTATTGAAAGGATTTTATAGCTTCCAAGCACAACTGGTACCCTGAGGGTCTGTGACCTCACAGTCTATACAATTCTCTTATTTTATAACTGAATACTTATTTTTATTAATGAACTCTTGAATCTATTTAGCTAATATTTATATCATGTTTAAAGTATCGTTTTCATAGTTTAAATGTCACCCGCCTGGTCACACAGTTTTGGCTTGGGATATGATGAATATGAAAACAAAATCAAGAATGTCCGGGTGGAGGGTGGGCAACATTGATGTTCTTCATCACTACCTGCAATCCAATCGTCCCGCCATGCTTCTCTTGGCCGAGACAAAAATCTCTGCACCGATTAACCATCTTAGCTTCCCAAATTACGAGGTGCACTCCAATCTGAGAAAGAACGGGGGTTGTGGCTTTTGTCCGCAGCAGTCTTTTCTGCTCCAGAGATGTTTCTTTGGAATCAGACCGGAAGGACATTCTGTGGCTTCGACTCCACTCCAAAAACATCACCCAAATTTATTTGCTGCCTTTATCGCTCTCCCTCGGACCATAACTGGGATGACCTACTTGATTACCTCGCCGTCAAGATCGACTTCCTGAACATCAACCATCTCGCTTCAGAGGTAGTTCTTCTCGGTGATTTCAATGCCCATTATGAGCTTTGGTTGCGCTCAAACAAGACCGATGCTGCAGTTCATGTAGTCTAAGCGTTCGCTCTCACTCAAGGACTGACCCAGCTGGTGACGAGCCCTACTTTTTTCCCCCGCGTCTCGTCATATGCTAGTAGCCTGCTGGATCTCTTTCTGACTACGCATCATGTCCCTTACAGCACTGCTGTTCTGTCCCCCCTGGGTAACTCAGACCACGGTGTTGTGGAGGTTAGGTTTCGCTCAGAACCCGCTGTGGCAGCAGAAACTTGTACACGCCGACTGGGAGGGGCACAGAGACTTCTCTACCTTTCCTTGGAGAGATGTCTGTTTCACTGACGCCGATGCGTCGGCTGTCTGTGCTTCGATAACCAAACTTATTCACGTCGGAATACATCCCTCACATAGTGAAAGTGCCTAAACCAGGGTCCAACGGCTGGTTTACAAATCGTGTGACATTGCTCGCCAACAGAAGATCAAGGCACACAGAACCTTCTTACAAAACCCCACTGTAGAGAACGGACAAGCCGACGTCGAGTCCAGAAACAAATATAACGAAGCGGTTCGCAATGCCAAAAACCAGCACGATATAAAAGTTATTCACAAGATAATGTCGCAGCGCAATGGCAATCGGTCTTTCTGGACGCTGGCCAAGCAGATTGAAAATAACTTTTCACCCAGTAGCCTTCCACCACTTACGTGTCAGGATGGAACGATTGTATCCGACTCATAGGCCAAGGCGGAAGTGCTAGTCAAGATCTTTGCTGCCAACTCCACCATGGACGTCCCCCCCCCCCAACGCCCAAGTGCCGTCAATTCAAAGGGTTTCGTACACTATGCGGGAGGTAACATTCAGGCATAAGATCGCAATACGAGTGCTCTTGTCGCTCGACATCAAAAAAGCTTCTGGTCCAGACTTGATTCCTGCCATTGTACTGAAGAGGTGTGCAGCGAAGCTTGCTCAAGTTCTTTCGCGTCTCTTCCAGATATCTTATGAATGCGGCACCTTCCCTGAAAACTGGAAATTTGGTCATGTCCAACCCATCCAAAAAAAAGGATCGAAGACCGACACTTACAACTACAGGGGACCTCCTAGCCTACGTCACGCAATTGTCGAGTAAACTCATCCAGTCTTATAGTGAGGCTCATGTCGTTGCTCTTGACATCACGAAATCATTCGATCAGCTGTGGCACACTGCCTTCTTAAGCAAACTTCCATTCTATGGCCTCCCAGAGAAGCTTTGCAGATGACTGACCGCAAGATATCCATCGTAATTGACGGGTTTTCCTCTTTATCCCACATCAACGCGGGTGTTCCCCAGAGATCGGTCTTGGTTCAGACACTGTTCCTCTTACATATCAACGACCTCCTTTCCTGCACGATCAACCCAATCCACAGCTTCGCTGATGACAGCACTCTATATGCAGGTATTCAGAGTGTCAAGCCGATCTCTACCGCTGAGCTGGAAAAAAGAAGTCTCGCGACGACTTCCTCTCTGACGAGAGACCTGGACGTGATCACTGCTTGGGGACGGAAAAATCTTGTACAGATCAATGCTTCCAAAACACAGTACAGTACTTTGACGAACAAAACGCGTCCGAGCGCTGATCCGGTTTCGATGGATGGCCGACATCTGCCAAAGAGCCATTCATTTCGGCTGGTCGGAGTTCAGATCACCGAGGACATGATGCGGCCGCGCGATATGCCTGCCAGACAGACCTGCCTGACTTTGGCGTCCCATCATAACCGTGACGAACTACGTACATCCAGAACTGGCCGAGGGTGTCGAGATTGTGGAACAATTTACAAGAGGAAGCTTTTCCCAGTTCTACTAACTTAGGCAGTTCAAAAATCATAGCAGCCGCGGTGTTCCGGCATTTAGGCTTGTCTGCGCGGCTGCTTCGATATATAAAATGAAGCTATTTGTCTTAGTTGACGCTGGATAACCCAAATGCCTAAATCATTCTTGGTTGTCATCAATAATAATCGAGGGACAAAATTAACCTTCAGCAGTTAACGCAGAGTGAGCATTGTAGGTTGACTTGATTTTGTGGTTTTCAGTTGCAAATCGAAATATCAACCTATCAGACAACTCTAAATGACCTCCACATGAAAAATTTGACGCAGACACCATTGTCCAATAAAATAAATGCTGAAGAGATTCAAAAGATACATCAGGAACAGATTTCTAAATTAGATACTTTGTTGAAGGATCAGACTAGACTATCTGAACAGTATGTAAGTCGAGAAAACAAATATACTTGGGACTTTATTTAATATTTCATAATTTTTAATTCTCCTGTAAAAGGGTCACATTCATTTTTGAGACATCATGTTATTGATTTTAGTTAAAAGAAATTAACAACCTGAGACAAGAATTGCAAAGGCTGGTAGAAATAGAGTTGACTGACAAAACTGCTATCAATGTGCTGACAACAAACTTTGACAGTGCACAAAAACAGTGTGAGGAACTTATAAACATCATTGAAGTCTTAACCAATGAAAATAGACACCTTCAAGGTAAGAAATCGCTTGCAAAGAAAACGAACAAAAAAGATTTTTGGTCATACCATACTTTGTTTCAGAAAGGCTCAATGGCAGTTTTCATTACCACCAAACAGGCACAGAAGAGAAAAGGAAGTCAGTGGTAAGCATGCTTTTAGTTGCGATTTGCATGCACAATTGAATTGAAGTGTATTCAAATCTCATGTGCATGTCCCATCAAAAAAACCATCAGCGCGCAACGTTCCAATTCGTGCGCTCGTATTGGCCAGAAATAGTCCGCATACACATTTTGTTATGAATAAAAGTTTTTTTCATGTTACTGGCCTTCTACCTATCTGTTCGTCCACTTTTGAAGCTAGGATGTTTATTGAACAGGGTGTGGTGACGTTGAAAAAGAATACCGCAACACCTAAAACGTTGGTTTTGAAAATTTGTCGAGTTCCTAATCATTTTTGGATTTGTAGTAAACAATTTTAGTGGTCATAATTTCTCAGAAACTCTTAAACTTCGTTCTTTGTATGTAATTTTCTAACCTTATTTGCAGTGGACTACTTACATATTCAATTTGTTCTTCAAAGTCGCCCCCATTGAATGACACCCTGATTCCACATCATGGCTTTGGGTCTGGTCTTTAATTTTGTGGTAATTTGTTCCCCAGAAGTGTGGTGTATGGTATCATTGTGGTTGATGATTATTTTTTTTTATTTTATCAGGATAACTTCTTAGATAAACAGTTGGAGAAAATGAAACAAATGTTGGTTGACAAAACAGCTCATATTGACACTTTGAATATGAAATTGAAGTAAGTTTGAACAGTATGAATATGTGTGAATTTTTTATGAAAAACATGTGACTGAGATTCCAATAGTATATTTCTTCTAGAAACTATGGAGACTGCCTTAATGAATTACTAGAATATAGACAGCTCAAGGCTGATGCATTAAAAAAAGAAATTCAGGAATGTAGTAAGTATTACATTACTTCATAAAAACACGTTATTTGTTAGGTTTGTTCTTCTATTCGCCACCGCACAGTATGAGAATAAGTAAACCTACTTGACGCTGATTTCGTTCTAGATAATCAAGAACATACGAAAACGTTACTACTACTCAGAAGCGAACTAATCAATAATGAAAAACTGCTCCAGGATAAGGACAGACAGATATCAGCTTTAAACTCTAACAATCGGGAATTATTAGAGAAAATGGAAGCGATGATTTCTCAGACAAGAAATGACATTCAAAATATAAGTTACAAGTATAATATACCGCAGTTGGAAAAAATGGCAGAGGACTTTAAAAAAGCCGAATTGCGTATCAAGGAACTCGAGGTAACTAGAATTTAAATGTTTCATTGCATAAACCCCACTTTGACACCTTGAAAGGTGAAATCATGACAACTTCGATTTTAAAGCTTATTGTCCATTTCTTATTTTAGGAGAGCTTATCAAAATCTGAGGAGACACGATTGTCCCTAGTTCAAAAACTCCAAATGTTAGACAAAAAAGACTTGGAATCAGATATAAAGAACATGAAGTTGCATCACGAAAAAGAGAAAACAAATTTAGAAAATCAGGTTAAAAAACTTCAAAACGATCTTGATGTTGCTTCTACAGAAGTAGACAATTTGAAAAAATATGTCAATGAATTGGTTAATGATAATGCAAAACTTCAGCTAGAAATAAAGCAATTCGAGGATATGAGGAACAACGAAGAAGGTATGTGAAAAAGTACAAAAATATGTGTGTCTGGATGGATGGTATGCTGGGAATATCACCTCATTCATGGTGCTGACTGGCTGATATGTTGCTGCCATACTTGAGATGAGAAGTAATTTCATTCATTACACAGTCTGGTAGATCTGGATAGAAAATTTAGTAATGATTATAGGTGGAATGTAAGATGCTTGTGGACGCTTGAAACTCTTGAAACTTTTTCGATTCCATTGTTAAAGTCCTAAATAAAAAAAGCTAACTGATAAAGTTTGACACTCTCCATCATAACAATTTTCAAAAAACCAACAAAAATATGAAGGAGAACAGGGTGATTCTGAGAACAATGACATTATTTCTAGGGAATAAGGTACATAAAAAAATAATATGAAAATTTCATATACCTACAAATGAGTATCAAAATAATCCCTTACTAGGATATGCAGTTATAATTTTGAAATCGAAAAAGAAAATGTATCCTTAGGTTGTACCAAGATATTGAATTGAAATTTTGTATTAACAGGGTAGTCAATACAGTGAAAGCTCCCATAAGCGGACACTCACGGTTCCGTAACTTTTGTCCGCTTATGGGAGGTGTCCGTTTAAAAGAGAGTATGTAAGTATACAGTATAAATAACGGGGTATATAATCATGAGGAAATGAGGTATTATAATCATGAGAAAAATGAAACAGAAACTCGCCACATTTTTAAAGTATGTATTTATGCTATATATCTATATAATATATGTACATATACGCATACAAAAACATAAATGCTTCAATACATGGTACGAGAATTTAAAAAAAAACATTATTCTTTAGCTTGTTGAAAAAAGTTTAAAATGTTTGTCTGACGAAATTTCACCATCTTTTGCTGAAGGAGACAATTTTCGTAATAACTTTCTAAATTTTTCAAATGTTGAAATGCAGTGAAATCATCTTTAGCAAATTTTTTCAATATAGAAATTTGATTTAGAGCTTCCCCATATGAATTTATCGTTTTTGAACCGCTTAGTGAGTCCACCAGTTCCACTTCTTCTTCTGAGTCGTTTGGACTACCATATTCAAGTTGACCTGGGCTTTCTACATCCAAATTCGAAAAGTTGCCAATGGCATTTTCTTCTGTTGTTATGTTATTGTCTATGGCCAGGAAATCATCTACTTTCTGGGGATCTGCTTCTCCTAAATGTTTGGCATGTCGCAGTAACTGAGCAAGTGTCGCTAAGGGCAGATCGTCTTCAGCATCGCAATAATTTTGCTCAGCAAATTCTGAGCTACATTCACTTTTTCTGAATCCAGCTTTGCCAAAACAGTTTTTAATTGTAGAGGAATTTACTTTATTCCATGCTGTTTTTATAAAATACAAAGCTTCTAACACATTGATAGACTTTGTAAGCTCAGATAAGCTTTGACCATCGTCAATTTTTGTTAAAATATGTTTTAAAATCAAGTGCCGATAATAAAATTTAAAGTTCTGTATGACACCTTGATCCATGGGCTGACAAACAGAAGTTGTGTTTGGCGGTAAAAATATAATTTTCACATTTTTCATTTTCATATCACGAGGATGAGAGCATGCATTGTCTAAAAATAAAAGAATTTGCCTTTTTTGGATTCTCATTTTCCGGTCGAATTCGACTAACCACTCAGACATGATTTCTCGGGTCATCCATGCCTTTTTGTTGGATTTCCAAGTCGCTGGTAGATCCTTAATAGCAACGTTTTTTAAAGCACGGGGACGAGCCGCTTTCCCGATCACAATCAAATCGCATTTTTCACCGGCCATATTTGCACAGAATAAAATGGTTAGTCTATCTTTAGACAACTTTCCACCCACACATGTTTCTCCTTTAAAGGACAGAGTTTTGTCGGGCAATGCGCGAAAAAAAAGTCCACTCTCATCTGCGTTGTACACATCTTCTGGTTTGTAGCCAAGCAACATGGACAGAAGTTTCTCCAAAAATTGTGACACATCAACTTGATCTACTGCAGCAGCTTCGCCAGATATGCATTTGAAACTCACACTATGTCTCTTGCGCCACTTTTGCAGCCACCCGTCGGACGCACTGAAATTATTATAGCCCAAAGTAGTGGCGATTTCTTTAGCTTTCATTTTCACTAACGGCCCTGAGATTGGAATGTTCTGACTTCTAGCTTTCACAAACCACTCAAAACATGTTTTGTCTATAGCAAAACCTTCCTTTTTAAAAAATCCTTCTTTTGATTTATATTAGTTCCTGATTGCCATTTACTCCTGATATCTTCCTTATTTTTGGCAATTTCAGCTGCTTGCGTATTCCCAATATTAAACCTCTTTGCCAAATGACGAACTGAAACACTTTCTCTGTCTAATACGTTAACAACTTCCATCTTTTCCTTTAACGAGAGCATCCTTTTTTTTGGTGCAATTTTACAGTTACAATAATAAAATACGTAACTCAATCAACTACGAATTTGCCTGAACTGAAGACAAGCCACAAGATTACATACAGGCTACCCAACGAAATGCGTAAATGGGGAATCACCTAATATAAATCGGGGAATTACCGAATTTTATGTATGTAGATATGTGCATTGCAATAAGCGGAACTAAAAAATCGTCCGGGTATTAGAGTTTCGCGTCCGCTTATGGGAGATTTTTTGATCACATACAGGAAAATCTAGTGTCCGAGTCCGTTTATAAGAGCGTCCGTTTATCGGAATGCATTTAACATTGAAAATTGATGGCTGAAATTCGGTTCCAGGAACTTTGTCCGGTTAAAAGAAATGTCCGCTTATAGGAGCTGTCCGCAAGGAGAGCTTTCACTGTACATACAAAAGTTTCCGTTCCAGAGACTACACCACCCACACTATGTAAATTTGATTAATAAATATTTTATACCTTTCACAGGATGCCTGACATTATTCAGTGCAGTCAACATACATATACTTGAGATCATTTTTTGGGCTCACTTAACCGGATTATCAGTTAGTGTCCATTGACAAGCAACGGTAATATCTCGGTAACGGATCCGTAAAATATACATGAACTTGTCTTTCAGATTGTATATTTTAAGCTTGAATAACGGTATGCATGAAAAACGAAATAAAAAAATGAAAAATAACCGAAAATCAAAAGCGCTCAAAATTAATCCACTAATTATAATTTTGAGTGAATGTTGGCGTACCTTTAACATTTTTTGCCCGGATCATCCCTTAATCTGCCTAGATCGACCGTTCATAAAGTTCATAACTATTTTTGTGAGTACCTCTTTGCCCGCTTTCATTTTTTTTTCTTTTTTTTGATAAGGTCATAAACAAATCATTAATGACTTGCATAACCTGCTTAAAGATAAAGAACAAACGTTGAAAGCTTTTGAGGAAAACAAAAAAGAAGCTGAAGATAATTTAAAGAGGGCTGTAACTAAGATGAAAAAGTTGGAAAACACTTTAAAGGAAGCCCATTCATCAATTGCTGATAAAAACAGCATTATTCTCGAACTTCAAGATAAACTGAGGCGGATGCATGAAAAATCGCAGACGGAAGAAGTTCATGTTAGTAGCATAGGCAGTGAATTAGAGACAAAGTTGAAAACATTGGAAGATGATTTGACTGAAGCCAAAACAACAATAATTGAAAAAGATAAAATTATTTTTGAATTGCAACAGGAAATAGAACGAGTGTCAGCAAATTTACGAACTAAAATGGACGAGTTAGTAAATGGCGACAAAAATAATGATGCAGAGACTGAAGCGAGATTGAAGAAGTTGGAAGATGCTTTGTCTGAGGCCAATTCAATGATTGCAGATAAAGACAAGATTATTATCTGTCTTCAAACTGAGATTAAACAATTTTCAGTAAACCTCCCACCTAAGGTAGAAGTTGGAGGTGGAGATGGTGATAGAAATAGAGAATTAGACCCGGTAGACGTTTTAACATTAGAGTTCAAGTTAAGGGAGGAAATTCAACAAGAGTACCAAAAGAATTTGAATGAAGTCGAGAAGAAATACAAAAAGGTAAGACTTTCTTGTGATATTTTGTTGCACGGCTTTCTGATTCTAAGTTGTTTTAATGTTGTACTTTCATTAGATGGCAGCTTCTGGCAGGGATATCCAAAAAGAACTGTCTGAAAGAACTAAAGAGTTACAGGAAAAACATAAGGAACAACTGACAGTTGTGCTATCAGAATGTGCGCTGAAAATTAAAGATTTACAAGAGGAAAAACAAGATTTGTTAGAGAAGCTGGAGGTGCTCCAAGCGGAATTTTACAAGGTTCAAAGCGAAGCTACGCTAAAAGAGGATACTTATGTCAAGCTGATTAAAATTGCAAGAAAAGAAGGCGAGGTATACATTTGAAAAGTGTACTAGACACACATTCTTAAATGAACGTTATTGCCATTTCAGAAAAATGCCGAGGAATGGAAAAAATGGCTAAAGCAGTTTTTTATGCAGTATATGAAAATAGAAACAACCAGCAAAGAAATCAGACTTAACATATTGCATAACATGAAGAAAGCAGATTCTGAGGTAAATAAATTCTATGTTCAAATGAATATGTATTGAATATTGCTATTTTGTGACGTTTTTTAGGTTGCTGCTCTTGAGAAAAAATATGATGATAAACTGAAAAAATACATAAAAAAGTTGTGAATTAGTGATAATGGTATGTGTAATTAATTGTTGGAAAATAAATGCATATTTTTTTAAGATATCAATTTTGGCAGCAGTGATTCATTCTAACAACCGAGAAAAGTATTGGAGAAGGAAAAATATGTCACTATACAAGAACTTACTAAACTGCACCTTGCAGTTTAGAATATTTTCTGACATCTTCAGAATGGAAATTGATGACACTCATTTCCATCATTTAGTTTGTTGACGTCTTATATGCTGTTAGGTGAACTGAAACTACAAGCTCATTGAAAAATTTCTTTATTTTTATGCACCCTATAGATGAAAAAGGTTCACTAATCACGTTAAATATGTATATTCATAAAATATGATTTTAGGCAATTATAATATATATTCAACATCAACATCAGGTAAAATATCCAGTTGTATAACAATATATTTGAGTCAGGGATGCAGTTCTTACATATTAGAAAAACAAATATAAGAAGCATTCATATTTCACAATTGTGTATCGAAACGTGAAAATAGAAAAACTGTGATAAACAATAGTCAATACAGTAATTAAAAAATAGTATCAATATTTCTAGGGCAGAAAGATACAAAAATAGCACGAATAGTTTATATAAACATGGGTCCAAAAGTGAAAAAAATATCTTTGGAATGGATTAACGTATCGACTTGAAATTGTATATAGTACATGTAGCTTTGTTACCATAGCCATACAAACATTTTAGTGGCCGAGACTATACCAGTGGTGTAGAAATGGGGAAATATTGACTCCTGCAAAAGAAACTAAAATACACTACCGCCCAAAAGTTTGGAAGCAGCGGGGTAAAATCAAAAACAAAATTAAACCCTCTGCAATTACTTTTATTGATATAAAATTAAAAAATGAACCAAAAGTAACTTAGAAAAAGCAGAAAATTAACAAATAATGTGAAAATAATCAAATTTTAGCTTCAAGGAAGTGCCCACCTTTTGCTTTAAAAATTTTAGCGCATATTTTAGGCATTCTATTAATTTCTTATAATAATTTTCGCCTAACTTCTTCCACTCAGTCTCTAATATCTGCCATAAATTTTCTGAGCTCGTAGGAAAACGATTATTCACCTTCCTGTCAAGTTCCGTCCAGACAAGTTCTGTTAGAGAAAGATCAGGCGGCTGCGATGGCCATTGCATGATGTTTAAAACCCCTTCTCATCTGTTTTGTTCTTCAAAAATTTCTGGCATAGTTTAGACGAAAGTTTATGGTCATGATCATGTTGAAACGTGAATTCAGGATGGCTGAGTCCTGAAGAATTTTGAAGTAACCTTCTCTGTTCAATTTTCCAGTTATCCTCACAAGATTTCCGGGTTTATTGTTTCCAAAACACCCCCTACCATCACATTATCACCACGTTTTACAGTGGGCACTGTACATGCTTCGGAAGCCCTTTCTTTCATTGAACGGCATACAAACACACGTCTATTGGATCCGAAAATCTGAAACTTTGATTCATCACTCCAAAGAACACTTTCCCACTAACCTATAGTCCAGTCTTTATGTGCCTATGCCCATTCTAGTCTATATTTCTTGTGTCTAATTGTTAATTTTGTTTTTTTGAAGCAACACATTCTTAGACACACAGACAGAAGTCGTCGTTTAACAGTTGTTACTGAGATGGTGTTTCCTCGCGTGTTAGTCACAGTTGCGGAAATTTGTGGTGCTGTTAAGCGTCGATTCCGTTTAGACAGACCTGTGATGAAGTTATCCGCTTGATTAGTTGTGGTGTTAGGCCTGCCTGATCTTTTTCTGTGTGTGTTAGCAAGAGTTACAAGAAATTCCAAGCCTAGCTGCGGTTTGACGTTCACTGTATCCTTTCTCACGAAGAATACAAATAGCACTTCGCTTTTGAAGCGTGATTTGCTTGCGTTTTGCCATTATCTGAGGAAAAATTATGGGAAAAGCCGTAGTCAACAGTTTTCGAATACTGATAATGTTATTTTCACAACTTGCGCGTGCCAAAACAAATACTACCGATAGCAACACGTCAAAGTACAAAAAAGCAACCGCAGAATTAAGTGTTTTGTCAACGTATAGGAATTTTTAAAAACATGTTGTGTAAACAATAGTAAAAAGCCATAAAGATGACATTTATTACACATTTTTACCACATATAGTAGTTGATGTTTCGTTTTGGCCAAAAACAGATGAACTTTTGGACGGTAGTGAATATTCAATGCATTGACATTTAACAGGTTGACTGCCATATATGGACGAGAAAAAATGCCCCAGACGCCAAGTACAGAATAATTATAAAAATTATGGAAGATTTATTCTATATTTTTGTAAAACATTAATCAAAACAGTAAAGGTTTCCCAAAAAAAAAACATCAGTGGTCGTATACGCCCGCCCGGGCACAGTCGGCATATTTCTACCATTGCTGCCAGCGGTCGTTTTGACTAGCTATGGGCAGAATCGAATGATTCTAATAATCGGATAGTTAGTATTCGAATGATTTTAAGAATCGATATATCACTCGAATGATCATTCACATGTTGTAAACATCGTTCAGTCAGCAGTTCTGATTTCTGATTCTCGTTTCTCGCTGCCGCGACGCCGCGAGCGATTTGAACAACGATTGCAGTGTTGCCGCTTTGCCAGTAATTACTTGCATTTGCAAGGAATGAGGAGCTTTGCAAGTAAACTTGCAAGGAATGGGTGCTCTGGAGGAATTTGCAAGTAATTGATGCGATGTTCATATTTTATGGATTAAAACATTCGTAACAGTTGCCATATTAGCATAACATTCTATGATACGGCGTGCGGGATTCAACCTAGAACATGGAGCCGAGCCAGCTGAAGTGAAAAAACAAATCGGGATAGAACGCATGATCACTAAGTAGGTGCTTCTGTTATCTGTCATTTTTCTCGGGACCATAAAGCCGCTGTGACTGTCAAGCCGCAGCAGTCTTGAGTCTTAGCAGAGCACTGAGGAGTAAAAATGGCCGTACTGACTGAAATATGAATACTCATCGTGAATCAATCAGTCGGTAGATATACATCTATTTTTGCGGAACACTCGTCACTCGGAATTGGAGGTTGTGTTTGGAGGTATGAGAAGTCATAGCACAGGTTCACCAAAAATTCATTCAGCGGTAGAATCGGTAGAATTAGACCTGAAGGAGATTCGAATACCTGTCATAACTAAACGAATAAAAACATTGAACTTTGCCAGTAATTGCAAGTAAACTGTCAGGTATTTGCAAGGAATTGCAAGTAAAACTGTCTGGTACTTGCAAGTAATTTGGCCACAACGCTGTGGCAACACTGATGAATGATTTTGTTTTAGTTGTTTTCGAACTTCGTGACGTGACGGGTGGTGTTTCGCTCAGTGGTGTTTTTCTTTTGCGGGTGATTTACGTTCGTCTTGTCTGTTTTGTTTAATACTAACTTTATCAGGCTTGGGTAAATTAAAATAAGGTAGTGTATATTCGTCCGTACATGTGCGGTCGACGTGACGTTTTGTTTAAACGGCCGTACATGTTTTAATTTGCACTGCTTAAAATAAATTAATCGTCCGGTTAGGTTAGCGCTTTCTTTAGAGGTTTTAATAATATTTCAATATGTACTAACATTTCAATAAACCATTCACCTGATCGAACTTAGGCAAGAATATCGAATGTGCGGCCGTTTAAACAAAACGTCACATCGACCGCACATGTACGGACGAATATCCAGTGCCTTAAAATAAATCTAAGTGTAAGTTTTTCTGTGAAAAAATAATTGTACTTTTTATTATTATGTTTTAATTGCAACAATTCTACCGGGAATAATTTTGTTACCGGTACCGGGACTCTAGCCACAGCGTAAATCAAATTCGTTAAATACCGATTTATTATAATTTGCCCATGCCTGATAGAATTATGAGACCTGGTGCTAAAAAATCCGTCGTTTGGGAATATTTTAAAAAATCTTCCAACACAAATTTTGTGCAATGCAATATTTGCAAAAAAGAACTAAAATTTTTTGGGAATACTACAAATTTGAATCAACATTTGAAGCGATTGCATGCAACTCAATTATTAGCAAATGAACCACCCAATAACGACAAGGATTTAGACAATAATGACCAAAAAGTGAATTCATTCAAGCACAAAGAAGATGAAGCTGGTCCATCAAGTAAAACCGATGAAATAATAGGAGAAAATCGAACGGGTTCATCGAATGACTCAACATTCCATCCTCCACCCCTAAAGCGAAGAAAGCAATTAAAATTATTTGGCGCTAAAACCAATGAATTGACTGACGTGGACATAATTGAAATAGATAATGCCCTTGTAAAAATGATAGTAAAAGACTATCAGCCTTTATCTATTGTCGAAGACGAAGGCTTTATTGAATATTCTAAAAGGCTTCAACCATTATATAATTTGCCGAGTAGGAAAAAGCTTTCAAGCATGCTTATCCCACAATTATACGAAAGAGAAAAATTAAAATTAAAAAATATGTTGCGCGAAACAAATAATATTGCAATCACTACGGACTGTTGGAGTTCAGATAGTAATAAATCATATATCACTATTACTTGCCATTTTATATATAGTGACAAAATGCATTCCAATGCTTTAGCTACAAGGGAAATGCTACATTCTCATACAGGAGAAAATCTAGCATTATCCGTAAAAGAAGTTTTGCAAGAATGGGACATATTTGAAAAGGTGTCTACAATTGTTTCAGATAATGCTGCAAACATAAAAACTGCAGTGCAAATACTGAACAAACATCACCATCCATGTGTGGCCCACACTCTTAATTTGAGTGTAAATGAGGCACTTAATGGAAAGCCCTTATTAAGCGCGATACTAAAAAAATGTAGGAGTATTGTTGGACATTTTAAACACAGCAACAATGCTTCTAATAAATTGAAAGCGGTGCAAGAGCAGATGGGGCTTCCTGTTCTTAAAGTGAAGCAAGATGTTCCTACAAGATGGAATTCTTGTCTAGTAATGCTGGAAAGATTATTGGTGATAAAAGATTCCTTGAGTATTACTATTACCAGTATTTCCAGTGCTCCAGAATTTTTAGATGCTCAAGAATGGACTATAATAAAAGATTTAATTCCTATTTTGAAGCCAGTGGAGGTTATCACCACAATCCTATCTGGCGAAAAGTACCCTACAATGTCTTCAATAATACCACTCATAAGAGGATTGCAGCATGCGCTAGTACGTTTCAGTACTGAAAATGAGGTCTGCACTCTTTTAAAAAATGATTTAGTAGATATTATTTCACGTCGTCTTGGAATTCTTGAAGTAAATAAGACTGTCGCGAAGTGTTCATTTTTGGACCCAAGGTTCAAAAAGTTGGGATTCGGGAACGAAACGAATTCTTCTAATGCTCAGAAATGGGTGTTTGAAGAACTGGTCCAACTGATAAGAAAGAAAAATGAACTAAATATAAATGACTTGGAGGAAAATAGACAGGAAGATGACTTAAGTAATCAAAATCCATCCAAAGACAATGATTTCGGAGTTTGGTTAAATTTTGACACAAGGTTATCTACAGTGAAGTCGACAGTTACCCCTACTACTGTTGCTACCTTAATAATTCGTCAATACTTGGAACTGCCTTTTGTAAATCGAAAAGAAAATCCATTAGAATTTTGGAAAGCACACAAACAAAGTATGCCTGAGCTCTATGAGCTTGCACTTAAATATTTAACAGTTCCTGGTACATCTGTACCCTCGGAGAGGATATTTTCGAAATGTGGACAACTAACCAACTTAAGACGAAATCGCCTATCTCCAAAAAACTTAGACCAAATAATTTTTTTAAATAGTTCTAATTTAGACTAGTATTATTAATTCAGAGTTTATGTTTGTATGGTACAAATATTTTGTTATGTCATGAAGTTTAATTTTATTATTTTATTTTATTATTATTCTAATATTTTGTTTTAGAAATTAACCTATATAATAATATATTATGTTTGCAGTTTTAAATCAAAGTTTAAGAAATGTAATTAAGTTTTATTTTACTGTTCAGAACAATAAGTTTGTTTTAGGAATAAATGTTTATTTTTCCAGTTTTAAACCAAAGTTAAATAAACTTTTTGTTAACATTAGTTTTATTTTTCTGTTATTATGTTACATATTTCCAAGCAGATTTATTATTATTATTATTACATATTTTGTTGCAAGGAATAAAGTTATAGGTAATGAATGCTCAATTCCAATCATGTATTGAGTTTGAGGTTTTAAGTTTTAACACCAAGATAGAATATGAAATTATCAAATCAATATAAATTACTGCTGTTATAAATATAATTAATAATCAGATAAACTAATATGCATAAAATTGAAATAAACTTTCGCCACTTGGCACATAATATACGTTAAAAAAACTATTGAGAGAAATCTGCTAAGGCACCCTATATTGTTATTCCCAACTAATAAAAAAAATAGTTCGATCGAAATAGAAAGAGCTATCAAAAGAATGCGCTTGAAAATTTAGATTTGTGATTCGATTATATTACCACACATAATAATAAAATTACGATGCGACAACATAAATTCTCAAGCGCATTTTTTTGGTAGCTCTTCCTATTTCAGTCGAAATTGTCGAAATATACCTACCACCAGGGCCGGCGCTAAGACTTTTGACGTCACGGGCAAGCCCAATTCTGCCGCCCCCCCTCCCACTTTTTTTCGTGCGCTCGGAAATCATTTAACATAGAACTCACGTATGTTAGACAATAATGCATAGTAATAGTTTTTTGTTTTCACACTACACATTTATTTATATATTTTGATTCTTAACAGTCTATGTACTCTATGTTACACCTATGTTCCTAACGCCGGCCCTGCCTACCACTTTTCGGGCCAGACCGCCAATTATTTCATAGATACGGCTGGGCTCACTGCTCACGCGTTGCTGCATGCGAAAGATGATTCACGAATGATCGCTCGAGACATCTGGTGCGAGACGCGCAGCGGCAGCATCGGTTTTATTTTGTTTCGAGCGGTCACACATTTGATTGAAGAGTGAATTATCATTCGAATCATTTGGTTGAAGTATTCGAGATATCTCGAATGATTTTGATAATCGAATGACCGATTATTTTTCATTCGAATGATCCCATCACTAGTTTTGACGGCGGTCGCGTTATTCGAGTCGTAACTTGTCGGGCTGAGAACTATCAGTCTAGTTTTGATCGCTGTTTGTTATGCACATGCGACGATGAGTAGTCGAAGTAGAAAAATTGTTGAACTAGCTTTGAAAGATGGCCAAATGTTAGGTAATAATTATTATTTATATTGAAATATATATTTTCAAATGGATATGAGTCTTTTGATACTCATGCGACTTTTCTGTCTGTAAATTGTTTTTGTTTTCTGCTGTTAGTATTCTGTATCTTTTATTATTTTTAAGTGACGAAACTGAACCATTTGGTTCATTTGACTCTGTTTTTACCATCTAGTGATGAAGAAATATTATCTAGTTCAGATTTCTCAGACTTAGAAAAATGCATACAAAGTTCCGTACAAACGAAAAATAAGGCCAAACGCAAATTGCAACTCATCTCAAAGAAATTGAGCTGTCGAAAAATTAAGTTTTTGAATCAACCATGCTGTTCCAAGTCACTTTTACCTGATGATGTCTTTTAGTCTCGTACGAAGAAATAGAAGCCGCTAACGTCTCAAAAAGGTATATCATCTGTTCATGTAAAAACAAACAAGAGCAGTTTATCAATAGATCTAGAACAGAACAAACAATTTCAACAATTCTTTGAAGTCGAAACCTTAGCGCAAACCCAGCCATCAAATACTGAGGGAAACCATCAGGAATCTAACAATGAAGTTGAAGTGATCCAAAATCTTCTAGAGCATAGGTGGACGCAGCCAGTTGGAAATCATCAAGAATTTGAATACACTGCAGAGGGTGGTTTACATGGAAATTATGCCGCAACACTTGTAAATGATTTATCGCCCTATAAATGTTTCCGTAGTTTCTTTGACGATGAAATTATTGACGAGATGGTAAATCAAACGAACTTATATGTAACTCAATTTTCTATGATACAAACGATATAAAGAAAGAATCAAGACTACACCGATGGGCTCCGACTGATAGAAAAGAAATGATTAGATTTATTGGTGTTGAGGCTTACATCGGTCTGGTAAAAATGCCTTCGT